AAAAATATATCCGCAAATCGTCAGTCCGACAAAAAATGATGAAAAAAATTTCGTAAAAAATGTGCACATGTATTTATAATTTCTAATAAGGTATTTTCATGTATTAAGCAAAATTCCATATAAATATACAATACAGGGTATTTCAGAAAGACCTCCCATAAATACAGGGGGTGAGGACGACAAAAAATAAAAATTTTTTGTCATATGAACTATATGTCTATCTCCTCAAGCTTATTTTGAGAAAAGTCACTTATTTTATAGTGTAATATTATAAGAGTTTAATTAAAAGTATGTTTTCTGGAAAATCGTCCACATTAGGAAGTTCTAACAAGAGTACATTATTTTTAGAAAATAAAATTGTACAATAGAAATTGGAGCCCGAATGGTAAAAAACCTAACCTTAAAAAAAAATAGAACTTAAAATGTAATAAGAATGTAGCATAACTAGCGCCCTCTATGAAATATACAAAAAATAATTAGACCAACGTATTTGGCACCCTTAAAACCCCCGGACTACCAAATTTCATAAAAATATTTCGCAGCGTTTGTAAATTTTCATAAAAATGTTATTTAAAAAGTTTTATTTTGTCTCTCTGTATCTCGAAAACAAGAGGAGATAGACATATAGTTCATAAGACAAAAAATTCTCATTTTTTGTCGTACTATCACCCCCTTTATTTACGGGAGGTCTTTCTGAAACACCCTGTATATATTTTTCGTTTTATTCTTGTAATTGTAAATCTCTATATGCTCAATTTAGCCAAATAAATATCGAGAAAAGAATTAAACGATTTCAAAAAAGTATGTATGGTGTAAAAAAATTATGCACAAAAGTTTTGGGATTTTCTTTTAGAAAAATAGGAAAATTTTTGTAAAGAAAAATAACAAACGCGAATGAAAACTTGAAAGAGAAAAAAGGATTTTTATATCAAGTATAATATAAGAAGTTGCTAAAAAAAACTGGCTTCTCCATAAAAGAAGATTTAACAAAGTCTAATATTGAGATAATGAAGAAAGCTGCAGACAAATATGGTTTTTCCAACGTGTGGAGTCAGAATGGAAAAATGTATGCTGTGTGTAACAATACTAGAATTCAAATTAGGAATGTTAGTGATATACTTTAATGTTTCTTTTTTTAATTGGCATGGTAGAACTATATTTAGGTACATATTTCAATGCTCTTGTTTATTTTCATAGCAGCCTCTTTTTGTAACTGTAGGCTTTATCTTTTTGTTGGATTTCTTTTCACTTACTCCCAAAATATTTCGGTTGTTATTGGAAATTAGTTTAATTACTGATTACCTTATCGCATAGTCTCAAATACTTATTTTTTTTACATTAAAGAGTTAGCAGAATATATGTTAATTTTAATTATTTTGTAATTTTGGAACTGGACACGTGAAATCTTCTTGTCATCGATTTTTTAAATGAGTATGACATCATCGCTGACAATGATGAGGATGTTGAACAAAATCTCATTATTTCACACTTTAATATAACATCCTTAAATAATAAATTTGAGGCATTAAAAGAATATGTTTTATCTAGTAATTATGATATTTTTACCTTATCAGAAACTTGGCTGTCGGAAGACATAAATGACTATTTTATTAATATTCCTGGTTATTCTGTTTTCAGGCAGGATAGACAGTCGCGTGGAGGAGGGGTTGCTATCTATATACGAAATTGTGCTCATATTAAATAACTAAAACTTATTACGAAATGTTCAATAAGTGACGTGGATAGTGTATGGGTATCTGCAAAAATTAATGGTAAAACTGTAAGTATTGGATGTGTTTATAATCCAAGATGTATAAATTTTAAATCCTTGGAAACTTTAGAGAATATAATAGCTGATTGTGTAATATCTACGGATTTATTTCTTTGCTTAGGTGATTTTAATATAGATTACTTGAATAGAGGTACTCAAGAATATAATTTCTTAGATTCAATTTTCGGTAGGACGTTTCATTTAAATCAAATCATATCAAAACCTACACGCGGCAAAACCTTATTAGATCATATATGGATCAATGAATTAAATTCAGTAATAAATTCTGATGTAATTGACTTGCCAGATTTCCGCAGTGACCATAGTTTGACTTACTGCGTAATTAATTTACCGATTCTGAGAAAACAAACTCCGCAATTTATTTTTTTCAGAGACGTAAAAAATATAAATTTAGCTGAATTTGAAAATTCTGCTAGAAGACTGAATTGGGAGCATGTTTACACAATTCAAAATATAGATGACAAGGTAGAGTATTTGGAACGTAGTATTAATACCTTATTTAATATTCATGCTCCCGTTAGGAAAATTAGATTGACAAAAAAATTCAACCCGTGGATAACATCAAATATTAAGCGTAAGATGCATATTAGAGACAAATCACTTTCGGATTACAGGAAGTCGTTAAAAAGTTTAGATTGTTCCACAAATCAAACAAATGCAAAGTAGATATTTTATAAAAATATGAGAAACCTTGTAACTGCTTCAATTCGTAGAGAAAAACAAGCTTTTATAGAAAATGAATTAAGGAAAAACTATAAAAATTCTAAACTCCTTTGGAAATCTCTAAATAAATTAAATATTTGTACTAAAAGTAAAATATTAACAATACCTGACGAACTAAAATATCCTGATTTAATAAATGACTTTTTTGTCAATTCTATTAATAGAATAGATGCAGATAGGGATACAGTATGTTTTTTTAACAATCATAAATGTGATGAAATAACTAGCTTAATGGAGTTCAAACCTATAAATAGCGTACAAATCTCTGAAATTATAAATAATATAAAAACAAATGCTTGTGGTGTAGATCAAATTACTGTAGAAATGATCAAATTATGTTTACCTTTTTGTTGTGACGCTATTACACATATAATCAATATATCACTAAACAACAGTATTGTGCCGAATCGGTGGAAACATGCGTTAATAACCCCTATTCCGAAAAAGGAAAATATTTCTCAGTTAACAGATTTGAGACCTATTAGTGTGCTACCTGTTTTCTCTAAGATATTAGAAAGAGTTGTTCATGGTCAACTAAAAAGTCATGTTGATAAATTTGACATATTGCCGAATAAACAATCTGGTTTTAGGAGCGGTTACAGCACAACTACGGCTCTTACCGATATAGTTGATGACTTATTACGAGGATTTGACAATTCTATGGTAACCCCTCTTATCTTGCTAGATTTTTCAAAGGCTTTTGATTGCTTAGACCATGAACTTCTATTGGCTAAATTAAATTATTACGGCATTTCACCGAAAACTTTAAAATGGTTCAGTATGTACCTCTCAAACAGACAACACCAGGTAAGAGTAAAACTCGACTCAGATCCTATATATTCAAACCCGTTAAATATATCCAATGGAGTCCCCCAAGGATCTATTTTGGGGCCTTTACTTTTCATCATTTATACTGCAGATATCCCTAATGAAATACAAAATAGTAAGGTGCATTTATATGCTGACGATTGCCAGTTATATTTGCCCTTTTCAACAGATAATTCAGATTTGGCTATTACTCAAATGAATAGTGATCTGAATAACATATACAATTGGTCTGTAAAAAATGCATTGCTGTTAAATCCACAGAAAACAAATGTTTTGTTAACGAGATCAAATAACCACCGTGGTAGAGTAAATTTGCAAGGCAGGCTTTTGCTGAATAACACTGTTTTACCAATAAATAATCAATGTAAAG